GAGGGCGGCAGGCGGAAGGACGTCCTCCTCGTCCTGGACTCATATCGAGGACATCTCACCGAACGTGTCGGCCAGACTATGCGTCTTTTCAAACTGACACGCGCGGTGATCCCAGGCGGTTGCACACCGCTTGTGCAGCCGCTTGATGTGTCAATCAACCGTGCCTTCAAGGCGGGCGTCCGACACCGCTACGGCAACTGGTTCGAGGAGGACGGGATCACAAGCACAACTCCCGCAGGTGTATGAAGCAATCGGGGCGTGTTGTCGATGTAAGAACAGTCGAATCACACAACCATACACCCTCCAATCCCTTTCCCTTGGCCCCAACCCGCAGACAACCTAAAGAAACCGCCGGCCGAACTCATCGTGAAGTGGATTGACGAGTCGTGGGCCGACGTTCCCGAGGAGATGGTGAGGAAAGCATTCCTCACCTGCGGCATCTCCAATGAAGAGGACGGGAGCCAGGATCATCTTATCCTGGCGCACATGCGGGATTCCGGCGAGGTGGAGGTGTTGGAAGACGTGATGGAGGAGGAGCAGGATGAACTGGTCCCCAACCCGTTCTACCCAGCCCCCGTGGTCACCCCTCCCGATGTGACCGTCGAGATGGAGGAGGAGGCCGTGCTAGCCGCTGAAGCAGAGGAGGCCGATGAGGAGGGAGTAACTGCTAAGTCAGACTCGAGCGATTCCGACGATGGAAACGCGAGTGAAGCTGACGAGTGGAGCGACGAAGAGGATGAATGGTGGGCCCCTGGTCGCTATGAGGGGGCAGAGGTAGAGGAGTGGGTGGCGGGTGACGAAGATGAGTAGCAAGGCGGGGGCGGATTCCAAGGTGGTGGGTGAAGAGTGGAGCTAGCGGGTGTTGAGAGGCTGCGTTGATTGTATTTTGTGACTCCTGTGGCCTAACATGTGCCACTGCTTGCTTAATTGACATGAATTAGCCTCTAAAAAACACTTTTAAGGTTGGGGGGGGTCTTATAATGATTTCACCCCAATTGGGGGGTATAAGGAAAACAGCCTTGAATAATATACCCCCCCCCCCCCCCCCCCCCCCCCCCGTATTAAAGACCTGGGTACATTATTATAGGGGGGTCTTTTATCCAGGGGAATTTGGTAACCCTAAAGTGTTGTACCCCTTGTAGGCTAACCCACTACAGCCTAGAGAAAACACAAACATTTAGTTTGACAGCGAGCGCAAGAAAGTGACAAGCCAGTTCATCGATCCTTCATGTCTTGGCAAGGAAACCCTTGAAGGGGAATACTTGGCATAATGGACTAGGGCAATCGATCTATGTACTCTTCTACATTACCGCTTGGAGGCAAACTGTGGCAGCTGTGAAAAAAGGATCATGGTCTGATAGAGCTTGATTTGAAAAGAAGAGCCCTCATGGATACAGGCTACTATAAGATAACCGCAGGCAAACAGAGCAACATGCCAATCCACAAACTACTCACTGCACAATCATAACCGCTATTAAGGTTCCTGAACACTTCAATGCTGTGGCGGTATCTCTTAGCAATCAGCAGGCCGCACGTGTCGCCGCGCCTCACACTGTACGTTCTCTTGGTTGAACAGGACAGGCCCGAGAATGGACGAGCATCAACGCCAGCCACACAGACCTGCCAATTGTGTTTCCGTGAAAACAGGAATTGCGTGAGACAACCTAAAAAGCATCGAAGTTAAAAAGCTCACTCCCGACAGAATCTCACACTGCTGCCAGCAACAGCCTACTGACCTTCCTTGTTACTCACCACTCACACCCTCAAATCCCTAGCTCTACCACTTGCCCTGGCCTCTTGAATCATTGCTAGTAAATTATGCACATCCCCCACACTCGCATCATTACCCTGGCCCTGTACAACCTGTGCACTTGTATATCCCTTACACCTTAAATCCCAATCGGTTTCCGTGAAGATCGTAAATCCCTTACATTCTTCAATCCCCTACACTCGTACAACCACCCGCGCGTCGCTGCACACACACCGCCACACACTTCCCTCTCAGTCACTCACACCCTCAACATTCAGACTGCACTGCAGCAAAGATTCTTCCAGGAAGCCTCGGACACACCTGGTCCCATACACCTGGTCCCATACACCTGGTCCCATGCACCTGGTCCCATACACCAGGCTCCATTCACCTGGTCCCATACACCTGGCTCCATTCACCTGGTCCCATACACCTGGCTCCATTCACCTGGTCCCATAAACCTGGCTCCATTCACCTGGTCCCATACACCTGGCTCCATTCACCTGGTCCCATACACCTGGCTCCATTCACCTGGTCCCATAAACCTGGCTCCATTCACCTGGTCCCATACACCTGGCTCCATTCACCTGGTCCCATACACCTGGCTCCATTCACCTGGTCCCATACACCTGGCTCCATTCACCTGGTCCCATACACCTGGCTCCATTCACCTGGTCCCATACACCTGGCTCCATTCACCTGGTCCCATACACTTGGTAACAGCTTTCCCACCCACCTGAGTCACAGTGTTGCCCTGCAGGGGGCTGTCTGGCAGCAGGGAGTCACACAGAAGTGGTTTTTTAGGCCTCAAAGCTCACTCCCACCCACCCGGGCCCAGATTTCCCACCCACCCGAGTCACAGTGTTGCCCTGCAGGGGGGCTGTCGGGCAGCAGCGAGTCGCACGGAAAGGCGGGGTTGAGCTGGAAGAAGCGCGTGGGAGAGGCGAGGCTGAAGGCCTGCCACAGCCCCTGGCAGGTCTGCGGGCTCTCAACCTCGCTTATGAGCGCGTCCTCTACGGTGAATGGGGCTGTTTGCTGTAGGCTGATGGAGGGTGGCGCTGGCGAGATGTGAGCGCAGTGCTTGCACTTTGTGCTTATCTTTCCGGCGTCGTACCACTCTTGGTCAAACGCCACACAGAGAAGCTGCGGGGAGGGGAGGGAAGGGGGGAAAGCAGCAGTTAAGGGGAAGGAGCGGCAGGTAAGGGGATGGGCAGCAATAAAGGGGGAGGATCAGTAATAAAGGGGGAGGAGCAACAATAAAGGGGGAGAGAAGCGAGGCAGGGGGAAGGGCAGCAATAAAGGGGGAGGAGCAGCAACAAAGGGAGAGAGAAGCGAGGCAGGGGAGAGAGGATTGATGACGGGTGGAAATATAGATGAGGATTCCACTCTCATCGTGCATCCACATCGGAGGGTCATTACCATCCACATCGGGGTATACTGGGGTAAATTGGGGTATATTGGGGTATACTGGGGTACATTGGGGTATATTGGGGTATATTGGGGTTGTTTGCCTCACGGAGGTTATTTCGGAAACAAACAGCTAACAGCATGACTTGGGCAATATTCTCAATCCGAGTTCGAAGAGCTTCCCAGAATCACTTTCTTTGCACCAGCTGCCCCCAAAAAATAACCGGCCAGGCGCTTGCGCTATTTTCAACCATTTGGCGTTAACCCCAAAAATTCATCGTTCCTCGCTGACCTCACCTGCCCATCCCGTGGCCATGGCCCATCCGAGCAGCTGAGGGCCGGGTTGAGCGGCTCTATCCTTCAACCCACTGACCTCACCCGCCCGTGCCGTGGCCCATCGGAGCAGCTGAGGGCCGGGTTGAGCGGCTCTATCCTTCAACCCGCTGACCTCACCCGCCTGTGCTGTGGCCCATCGGAGCAGCTGAGCGCCTTTAGAAGCGCCTTTGAGGCGCCTCTGAACTCCCCTTAATTCAACCCGCTGTTCTCACATGCCCGTGCCTCGGCCCATCGTGTTAGAAATCCTATGTTCTAGCATGCTAACACTTGTGACTGTACACCAATTGTGGTGTACAGTTGGGTTGTGACCACACCCAACTTTGGGTGTAGTCTTGCATTTTGGGGTGCCAATCCAACCCAATTGTGGTGGAGCCCCCAAATGCAACCCTATGGGCCATAGGGTACCCCACTTCACAAAGTGAGGCCAACCCAACCCTTTGGGCCATAGGTTGGCCCACTTCCCCAAGTGTGGTCAACCCAACCCAATGGGCCATAGGTTGGCCCACTTCCCCAAGTGTGGTCAACCCAACCCAATGGGCCATAGGTTGGCCCACTACCCCAAGTGTGGTCAACCCAACCCAATGGGCCATAGGTTGGCCCACTTCCCCAAGTGTGGTCAACCCAGCCCAATGGGCCATAGGTTGGCCCACTCCCCCAATCCCACCTCCCTCCTTTTCCCTTCCAACCTTCTCTTCCAAACCTATGTATGCTTGTTCTACTCTCTAATGAAACTAATCATTCTTTTTCAATTATTCACATATCGGAGCAGCTGAGCGCCTTTAGAAGCGCCTCAAGAGTCGCCTTTGAGGGCGCCTCTGAACTCCCCTTAATTCAACCCGCTGTTCTCACCTGCCCATGCCTCGGCCCATCGGAGCAGCTGAGGGCGGGGTTGAGCGGCTGTATCTGCGTGTCGAAGAGGGCGTTGATGGAGTCACAGATGTCGCCCTGCATGCACACATGTCAGATACAGGGGGTAGTGGAAGTGAGAGCGAGGGTATTGGGAGAATTGGGATGCACGGTTCTATCTGCGTGGCGAAAAGCGCGCTGATTGAGTCACACGCACGGGGGAAGAGGACATTTGAGACATCTCAAAACTCTATCTGGGTGGCGAAAATGGCGTTGATTGAGTCACATGTGCCGCCCTGGTGTCACACGTACATGGGGGGAGTGGTGATTGCAATGCCACTTACATAATTAACAGTGTACATTGCTGTACATTTGGAGAAAGCACGGCTGGTGACGCTGACCAGGGTGCCGGCAGGAATGGGAACTCGACACTGGAAGCCCTGGTATCAGAGCATGGTATCAGAGCATGGTATTAGAGCATGGGCAGTCGAGCGAGAGAGGGGGAGAAAGTCAGCCAAGGCAGAATGGGAGGGGTTCGACTCATGAAGCCCATGTGAGCGGATTTGGAAAGATGGGGATTGGGAGAGACTGAACAAGGGAGAGATTGGGATAAACCATTGGCTCGGTGGTCCAGCAGATCCGTGTCAATCAAGCCATTGGCTCAGTGGTCCAGCAGATCTGTGTCACTCAAGCCATTGGCTCGGTGGTCCAGCAGATCCGTGTCACTCAAGCCATTGGCTCGGTGGTCCAGCAGATCCGTGTCACTCAAGCCATTGGCTCGGTGGTCCAGCAGATCCGTGTCACTCAAGCCATTGGCTCGGTGGTCCAGCAGATCCGTGTCACTCAAGCCATTGGCTCGGTGGTCCAGCAGATCCGTGTCACTCAAGCCATTGGCTCGGTGGTCCAGCAGATCCGTGTCACTCAAGCCATTGGCTCGGTGGTCCAGCAGATCCGTGTCACTCAAGCCATTGGCTCGGTGGTCCAGCAGATCCGTGTCACTCAAGCCATTGGCTCGGTGGTCCAGCAGATCCGTGTCAATCAAGCCATTGGCTCGGTGGTCCAGCAGATCCGTGTCAATCAAGCCATTGGCTCGGTGGTCCAGCAGATCCGTGTCGATCAAGCCATTGGCTCGGTGGTCCAGCAGATCCGTGTCAATCAAGCCATTGGCTCGGTGGTCCAGCAGATCCGTGTCAATCAAGCCATTGGCTCGGTGGTCCAGCAGATCCGTGTCAATCAAGCCATTGGCTCGGTGGTCCAGCAGATCCGTGTCACTCAAGCCATTGGCTCGGTGGTCCAGCAGATCCGTGTCACTCAAGCCATTGGCTCGGTGGTCCAGCAGATCCGTGTCACTCAAGCCATTGGCTCGGTGGTCCAGCAGATCCGTGTCACTCAAGCCATTGGCTCGGTGGTCCAGCAGATCCGTGTCACTCAAGCCATTGGCTCGGTGGTCCAGCAGATCCGTGTCACTCAAGCCATTGGCTCGGTGGTCCAGCAGATCCGTGTCAATCAAGCCATTGGCTCGGTGGTCCAGCAGATCCATGTCAATCAAGCCATTGGCTCGGTGGTCCAGCAGATCCGTGTCAATCAAGCCATTGGCTCGGTGGTCCAGCAGATCCGTGTCAATCAAGCCATTGGCTCGGTGGTCCAGCAGATCCGTGTCAATCAAGCCATTGGCTCGGTGGTCCAGCAGATCCGTGTCAATCAAGCCATTGGCTCGGTGGTCCAGCAGATCCGTGTCAATCAAGCCATTGGCTCGGTGGTCCAGCAGATCCGTGGTCCAGCAGATCCGTGTCAATCAAGCCATTGGCTCGGTGGTCCAGCAGATCCGTGTCAATCAAGCCATTGGCTCGGTGGTCCAGCAGATCCGTGTGATCTAAGCCTAACCGAGCCTCTGGAGTTGTTGGCTCCGTGGATGGCTCGCCAAGCCAGCTTGGCTCGGCTTGGCTTGAATCAAACCAAAAGTGGCGCCGAGCCGACCAATGTCTACGATGGGGCGTGGCATGGCGAATTTTGCGGCGCCTAAAAGGTTGTGGCATGACGTGGTGTGTTGTGATGCGCAGTGTGAGATAGCCTTTCTCACCTTGTTTTCGAGGTGACTTTTGAGTCGACTCAAAAGTCACTCGATATGAGATATGCAATGTTGAGAATGAGCGGGCACGTGTTATGATGCAACATGTAATGTGCTTTGATGGCCTTCCTCACCTTGTTTTCGCTGAAAAACTGGGTCTGTGTCAATCCGAAAGTGTTGAGAATGAGAGGGCACGTGAGGCCAAACTGGGACAGGAAGGTTGGCATTCGAGTGCCACCCGCTTGCACTGTAGACATGGTGGGGAGAGAAGGGAGGGGGGGTGTGGGTGGGGAGAGAACATTCAAAGAGAATACAGGGTTACAGAAGTTGGTGAGAGGTACTTAGTATAAGGTACGAGCAGAGATGCAAAAAGAGAAAGAGGCAGGCAGACGCACATGAAAGAACCTTGAGGGAGTGAAAGAGCGCAAGGTTTTGAGACGCCTCAACACTCGAGACACCTCAGAACTTGAGACGCCTTAAAGACAGACGCACACGAACCAACCTTGAGGGAGTGGAGGATCGCGAGGGCAATGGCATTGGAAGCAGAGAGCAGAGAGTGTGCCCTGTGCATGTCTGCAGCGGTGAGGTGAGTGACTGAGATGCATTTTGGTACTCTTTCCCCCTCCTCCTCCTCCTCCTCCTCCTCCTCCCTCCCTCCCTCCCCTCAGGTAAGAAGCTGAGGCTGTAAAGAAGGAAGTGAGTTTTGAGGCGCCTCACAACTTACCTCATCGTAAGCAACGAAACAAGACAAGTATGTGACTTACCCAGGGAGCAACTGGAGCAACAAGGTGTGTGACTTACCCAGAGAGCAACTGGAGCAACAAGGTGTGTGACTTACCCAGAGAGCAACTGGAGCAACAAGGTGTGTGACTTACCCAGAGAGCAACTGGAGCAACAAGGTGTGTGACTTACCCAGAGAGCAACTGGAGCAACAAGGTGTGTGACTTACCCAGAGAGCAACTGGAGCAACAAGGTGTGTGACTTACCCAGAGAGCAACTGGAGCAACAAGGTGTGTGACTTACCCAGAGAGCAACTGGAGCAACAAGGTGTGTGACTTACCCAGAGAGCAACTGGAGCAACAAGGTGTGTGACTTACCCAGAGAGCACTGGAGCAACAAGGTGTGTGACTTACCCAGAGAGCAACTGGAGCAACAAGGTGTGTGACTTACCCAGAGAGCAACTGGAGCAACAAGGTGTGTGACTTACCCAGAGAGCAACTGGAGCAACAAGGTGTGTGACTTACCCAGAGAGCAACTGGAGCAACAAGGTGTGTGACTTACCCAGAGAGCAACTGGAGCAACAAGGTGTGTGACTTACCCAGAGAGCAACTGGAGCAACAAGGTGTGTGACTTACCCAGAGAGCAACTGGAGCAACAAGGTGTGTGACTTACCCAGAGAGCAACTGGAGCAACAAGGTGTGTGACTTACCCAGAGAGCAACTGGAGCAACAAGGTGTGTGACTTACCCAGGGAGCAACTGGAGCAACAAGGTGTGTGACTTACCCAGAGAGCAACTGGAGCAACAAGGTGTGTGACTTACCCAGAGAGCAACTGGAGCAACAAGGTGTGTGACTTACCCAGAGAGCAACTGGAGCAACAAGGTGTGTGACTTACCCAGAGAGCAACTGGAGCAACAAGGTGTGTGACTTACCCAGAGAGCAACTGGAGCAACAAGGTGTGTGACTTACCCAGAGAGCAACTGGAGCAACAAGGTGTGTGACTTACCTAGAGAGCAACTGGAGCAACAAGGTGTGTGACTTACCCAGAGAGCAACTGGAGCAACAAGGTGTGTGACTTACCCAGAGAGCAACTGGAGCAACAAGGTGTGTGACTTACCCAGAGAGCAACTGGAGCAACAAGGTGTGTGACTTACCCAGAGAGCAACTGGAGCAACAAGGTGTGTGACTTACCCAGAGAGCAACTGGAGCAACAAGGTGTGTGACTTACCCAGAGAGCAACTGGAGCAACAAGGTGTGTGACTTACCCAGAGAGCAACTGGAGCAACAAGGTGTGTGACTTACCCAGAGAGCAACTGGAGCAACAAGGTGTGTGACTTACCCAGAGAGCAACTGGAGCAACAAGGTGTGTGACTTACCCAGAGAGCAACTGGAGCAACAAGGTGTGTGACTTACCCAGAGAGCAACTGGAGCAACAAGGTGTGTGACTTACCCAGAGAGCAACTGGAGCAACAAGGTGTGTGACTTACCCAGAGAGCAACTGGAGCAACAAGGTGTGTGACTTACCCAGAGAGCAACTGGAGCAACAAGGTGTGTGACTTACCCAGAGAGCAACTAGAGCAACAAGGTGTGTGACTTACCCAGAGAGCAACTGGAGCAACAAGGTGTGTGACTTACCCAGAGAGCAACTGGAGCAACAAGGTGTGTGACTTACCCAGAGAGCAACTGGAGCAACAAGGTGTGTGACTTACCCAGAGAGCAACTGGAGCAACAAGGTGTGTGACTTACCCAGAGAGCAACTGGAGCAACAAGGTGTGTGACTTACCCAGAGAGCAACTGGAGCAACAAGGTGTGTGACTTACCCAGAGAGCAACTGGAGCAACAAGGTGTGTGACTTACCCAGAGAGCAACTGGAGCAACAAGGTGTGTGACTTACCCAGAGAGCAACTGGAGCAACAAGGTGTGTGACTTACCCAGAGAGCAACTGGAGCAACAAGGTGTGTGACTTACCCAGAGAGCAACTGGAGCAACAAGGTGTGTGACTTACCCAGAGAGCAACTGGAGCAACAAGGTGTGTGACTTACCCAGAGAGCAACTGGAGCAACAAGGTGTGTGACTTACCCAGAGAGCAACTGGAGCAACAAGGTGTGTGACTTACCCAGAGAGCAACTGGAGCAACAAGGTGTGTGACTTACCCAGAGAGCAACTGGAGCAACAAGGTGTGTGACTTACCCAGAGAGCAACTGGAGCAACAAGGTGTGTGACTTACCCAGAGAGCAACTGGAGCAACAAGGTGTGTAACTTACCCAGAGAGCAACTGGAGCAACAAGGTGTGTGACTTACCCAGAGAGCAACTGGAGCAACAAGGTGTGTGACTTACCCAGAGAGCAACTGGAGCAACAAGGTGTGTGACTTACCCAGAGAGCAACTGGAGCAACAAGGTGTGTGACTTACCCAGAGAGCAACTGGAGCAACAAGGTGTGTGACTTACCCAGAGAGCAACTGGAGCAACAAGGTGTGTGACTTACCCAGAGAGCAACTGGAGCAACAAGGTGTGTGACTTACCCAGAGAGCAACTGGAGCAACAAGGTGTGTGACTTACCCAGAGAGCAACTGGAGCAACAAGGTGTGTGACTTACCCAGAGAGAAACTGGAGCAACAAGGTGTGTGACTTACCCAGAGAGCAACTGGAGCAACAAGGTGTGTGACTTACCCAGAGAGCAACTGGAGCAACAAGGTGTGTGACTTACCCAGAGAGCAACTGGAGCAACAAGGTGTGTGACTTACCCAGAGAGCAACTGGAGCAACAAGGTGTGTGACTTACCCAGAGAGCAACTGGAGCAACAAGGTGTGTGACTTACCCAGAGAGCAACTGGAGCAACAAGGTGTGTGACTTACCCAGAGAGCAACTGGAGCAACAAGGTGTGTGACTTACCCAGAGAGCAACTGGAGCAACAAGGTGTGTGACTTACCCAGAGAGCAACTGGAGCAACAAGGTGTGTGACTTACCCAGAGAGCAACTGGAGCAACAAGGTGTGTGACTTACCCAGAGAGCAACTGGAGCAACAAGGTGTGTGACTTACCCAGAGAGCAACTGGAGCAACAAGGTGTGTGACTTACCCAGAGAGCAACTGGAGCAACAAGGTGTGTGACTTACCCAGAGAGCAACTGGAGCAACAAGGTGTGTGACTTACCCAGAGAGCAACTGGAGCAACAAGGTGTGTGACTTACCCAGAGAGCAACTGGAGCAACAAGGTGTGTGACTTACCCAGAGAGCAACTGGAGCAACAAGGTGTGTGACTTACCCAGAGAGCAACTGGAGCAACAAGGTGTGTGACTTACCCAGAGAGCAACTGGAGCAACAAGGTGTGTGACTTACCCAGAGAGCAACTGGAGCAACAAGGTGTGTGACTTACCCAGGGAGCAACTGGAGCAACAAGGTGTGTGACTTACCCAGAGAGAAACTGGAGCAACAAGGTGTGTGACTTACCCAGAGAGCAACTGGAGCAACAAGGTGTGTGACTTACCCAGAGAGCAACTGGAGCAACAAGGTGTGTGACTTACCCAGAGAGCAACTGGAGCAACAAGGTGTGTGACTTACCCAGAGAGCAACTGGAGCAACAAGGTGTGTGACTTACCCAGAGAGCAACTGGAGCAACAAGGTGTGTGACTTACCCAGAGAGCAACTGGAGCAACAAGGTGTGTGACTTACCCAGAGAGCAACTGGAGCAACAAGGTGTGTGACTTACCCAGAGAGCAACTAGAGCAACAAGGTGTGTGACTTACCCAGAGAGCAACTGGAGCAACAAGGTGTGTGACTTACCCAGAGAGCAACTGGAGCAACAAGGTGTGTGACTTACCCAGAGAGCAACTGGAGCAACAAGGTGTGTGACTTACCCAGAGAGCAACTGGAGCAACAAGGTGTGTGACTTACCCAGAGAGCAACTGGAGCAACAAGGTGTGTGACTTACCCAGAGAGCAACTGGAGCAACAAGGTGTGTGACTTACCCAGAGAGCAACTGGAGCAACAAGGTGTGTGACTTACCCAGAGAGCAACTGGAGCAACAAGGTGTGTGACTTACCCAGAGAGCAACTGGAGCAACAAGGTGTGTGACTTACCCAGAGAGCAACTGGAGCAACAAGGTGTGTGACTTACCCAGAGAGCAACTGGAGCAACAAGGTGTGTGACTTACCCAGAGAGCAACTGGAGCAACAAGGTGTGTGACTTACCCAGAGAGCAACTGGAGCAACAAGGTG